ACCCACTGAGCTCCGACTCTGCCCAGACCATCCCAGGATGCTCATACACTGGGCGTGACTCATCCATCGTCCAGATCATGTCCCGATCCTGACCCTGACCCTGACCCCGACCCTAAGGCTGACCCTGAGCCCTAGCTCCTGCTTGTCCTCTGATCTCCTGGCACTGTTGCTCATCTGAGGGGAGGAGAGGGCATGAGGATGGTCAGTCCAGGAACCACAAAATACACCAAGGCGCAGTTGTGGTTCCTCTCCAAGGCCACTGGGCTGCGGGGGGCTGTGGGAAGGGCTTGGGCAGCAGCATCTGGTGAGTGCCAGGCACCATTAACCCCCTCAGCGAGTACCCTACTGACCCCTGTGGTCTCATTCCAGACTGCTCCCCAGTGTCCTGGTCGTGCCCCACTCCCTCTCAGAAGATGCTGCCACAACGGACAGGATCAAAAGCCGAGCCCAACCAGAGGGACATTGGGCCCAGCAGAATGGCCTGGCGCTCACTCCCCTGCGCCCTCAGCAATAAAGAGCCATTCAGCACTCCTGTGGCGACTTGTTTCCTTCCTCTGGGTCGCGGGTGGGGCAAGTGGGAGGCAGAGAGGAGGGTCTGGAGTGGAGGGGAGATCTGAGGGCACTGAGTTCCTGCCATGGCAGGCAACGGGCCAGAGTCTCACACCAGGTGTGGCAGGCACCGGCTCCATTCACCCGTTCATGGGGGGATTAGTGAGCCCCGGCCCTGGGGGCAATGGGAAGTTGGGGAGCTTAGTCAGCCCTAATTTTGGGCCAGTGGGGTAGTGGTAACTGGGGGCCTTAGTGAGCCCCAACCCTGGGTCAGGGGGTACATTGGAGCTGGGGGGGCCTTACTGAGCCCCGAACTTGTGAAAAGGACATTGGGTCAGGAGCCAACTTCTGCAGGGCTCTCTTCTGCCAGAGATCCTCTTGCAAGAGACACGGGTCCGACTAGATCAGCTGTGGCCACGCCCCAACCTGGTCTCCACTCTCCAAAGGACTTAGGGTGCACTGGAGCAGTCTCTCAAACAGTTCTGAGGACTTTTATGGTCTCAACACCAGGCCTCAGCCATCCTCCACACCAGTTCCAATAGTTTATGCATCCACCTGCAGGACCAGTCTGGTGTGTTCATGGGCCCAGGGGCCCTCAGACCATCTCCTCTCCCCACCACATCCCCTCTGACAGCACCCAGAGCTCTGAACTGGGGGCTCCGCCCCACTGAGGCTGACACAGTGTTGCATGTCCAGCTAACAGCCCGTCCATGGAGGTGCTAAGCATGAACCCCACCCGACTGGTCTGACTCTGAGTCCAGCCGAAGCCCAGGTTTTCATCATACGCTGAGCTTTGACTGCTGCACAGTCCAGATCATCTATGACCCCTGAACTCTGACCCTTGGCTCCACCTTGGGATCAACAATCTCCCTTTTCTAGGCGAGGCCATTCCTGACCCCATTTAACATTTAACCCGAGGCTCCTGAAGGCAAGTGGCCCTTTGAGGTCCCACCGTGACATAGTGGCAGGCCCTGGAGAGAGCCCACAGCCATGGGCCCCTGGCTCCGGGAGGCAGTGATCAGCTCCCGGGGGCTTCAGTGGCCTCTGGGTGCTGACGGCCTCCCTGGGCAGGGGAGAGTGCTGAAGCTCTTCTCCCACCCCCATCTTCTGTTTCCCTGTTTTCTTGCTCCATGTGTGGCCTCTGCGAGGGTCTGAGCCACACACACAACAGCTGCCTCAGAGCCCGCAGGCGCCTCTCAGTCTCAGAAGCCGACTTCCCTGCCCAAATACGCTGCTAGCTTTGCCCATTTATCGAGTAGCCATCCTGTCTTCTGGAAATCTCTGTGCGGGGTCAGGGTCAGGTTCACACAGGCCCAGATGCCCTTGGATAGCTTCTCCAGGCACCTGTCAGTGCCCTGCACTGGTCCCTGAGGTGGGGACACTGTGTGGTGATCAGTGCCCCGGTTAGAGGACCCTGTTGACTGCAGGTGGGAGAGAGAGACAAAGCCGGATGCCCCAAGGTGTCTGCATGCCCTTATCTCATACCAGGTGACACCCCTGGGCCCGCTCTGGGTGTTGCAACACCAGGTGGTAACAACCAATGCAAACAGCAGCGCCCAGGGATAAACAGGATGTTCAACATCAGGACTCTCAGCCTTGGCAGCGGAAGCCTGAGCTCTGGGCGGGCGCTTCCTGGGGACCCAAAGCCCGGGTTCGTGAGAGACAGGCCGCATTCATGCTCTCAGCCTCACTTTCCTGGAAGCAATGTGGGCTCTCAAGGCCACACAGGGCTGCGTGATAACTAAGCTGAAGCGCACCTGAAGCTCAACCCAGAGACCAACTGCCCTGCTGGGGTGGGCCCTGGGTGAACATTGACTCACTGCCGCCCCCAGGAGGCCAGGCTGCAGCTGCCGACCTCAGGCTCCAGGGGGGCCCATATTCACCCCAGGGAGAGGTCTGAGCAAGTCATCAACTGCTCTGAACCTCAGCCCCATTGACAGAGCGACAGTCACACCCTGCAGGACTGCACAGTGGGAGAGCACCAGGGACAGCCCCGCAGTCCCAATTACTTGAACCCCCCCCCCAAAACCTGTCCTGGCTGTGCCTGCAGGACCCGGGCCCGCAGCAGTGAGCTGTGCTGTGAGCTGTGGCTCTGACGGGTTTCTCCAGGCTGAGCTGAGGCCCCGGGCTGAGGTGAGCCACAGCTCACAGTACTCGAAGGAGACAGCAGGCGGGATGCTGGGAGGCCGCCCAATTTCTAGTCTGTCTCCCCGCAGAGCACACAGACTGTCTGGGCTCAGGAGTCCCCGACTCAAGCTATGGAGGGGGGACCCGAGCATCCATAGATTGTGTAAATTTCCAATGACTGTTGAATCCTGTCTTTCTCACCTCATTGTCCCAACAGAAAATTCTAACAACACTCGGAGACAAACAATGAAAAGAATGATCCCCAGGTCCCCAATAGCCTGGGTGAACCTCTCTGCTGCCCCCGACCCCCAGACTTCAGCCTGCAGTGAACGGATGGGCCCTGGCCCTCTGCTGAGGCCGGTGCCATTCCCAGCGTGGGGTCCCTTGAGGCCTTCGGGAGCAGCAGGTCAAAGTGAGTCCCACATATGAGTCAGGGTCTGTGGACTTGAGCGGCAGGAATTCAGCCACAGTGTTGGGGCTGGACAGAGGGAGCAGGAGATGGGAGCGGAGAAAGAGAGAGTGAATGGCCGCTGACCAGGGGGACGATGCCCAGGCAGACAGTAGATCAATTCTCACCTCTGGCACTGGCCTCCAGTGGGCCTATCAGGCACCTGTTCAAACCCCTGCAAACACCATATCCCCCTCTGGGCTGTGAGTCCTGTCACTCAGATTTGGCAGTGGGGTATCAGACAGTGTGAGAAGTTCTCTTCCCTGTAGGAAGGGAAATGCTCTTTTGCTGGCGGAGTTTGGCTCATGCTACCTTGTCTGTGTGTGTGTGTGTGGGTGTGACTCTCTTTGACTCCATTCCCCACCTCGGGACAGCCTCGTTCCAACTGTTAGAGATGAAAATGTGCAGCTCACATCACCCCGTGCTCGGCTGTGAGATGTGGCCACACCAGCGGGAGAAGCCGGGTCCGTCCTGGGTGTGCATCCTGCCGGGCCCCTCTGTGCTTCCGGAGGCCAGAGCTGGCGTAGAAGGGCCTGGAAAGAGGGGAGGAGAGAGATGGAACGAGACAGGAAACCTGAGGGGACCATCTCCCCTGAGGCCCTGGGCTCAGTAGAAAGAAAATCAGAGCATATGGATAGTAAAAAGGGCACCAATGCCAGGAACAGTTGACAGAGGATGTACAGATTCGCCCTCCTAACACACCAACACTCAGGACGTGAGTCCTCTGGTTTCTGAGCATCCCAGGTGATGGCACGTCAGCACCTTCCCAGCAGGCGGCTGTCTCTATAAGGTGCTCTGGGGAGAGATTTGGAGCACTCCAGAGACTGTCAGGATTGGGGACCTGACATAGAAGAAATCCCCAAAGCACAGGCTGGCAACAACTTGCTGAAGGCAGAGGAAAAGGAGAAAGAATGCAATCGGGATGACTGGCTGTGCAGGAAGCCAGCAGAAGCTGAGGCTGGGACAATTGGTGGGACCGCCCAGGGTCAGCCTGGGACTCAGGGGTGATGTCGGAGAAGAGGCAGTTGTGGGGAGGAGAGTTCCAGGCTTCAAGAATGACCCACACAACACCCAAGGGAGGAAAGAGCTTGGCATCTTTTGGAACAGAAGGAAGTCTAGGAGGGGCAAGGGCCGTGTGGGGACTTGGGTTGAAGATACTGCGCTGACCGAGAGCCAAGGAGGTGAGTGACCCGGGGAGGCCTCGCGTGAGGCCGTGGTGCGGTCTCCCAACACTGGCTGCGCACCCAGGCAGGCCTCAACCGAACTGGGGCTCGCTGGTACCCACATACATGCGGTAATGTGGTCGCTCTCAGGAGGTTGCTACTGCAGGTAGCAGGAATGGGCAGACTTTAGGGTGGGTTATGCGGTCCCCATCAATGCAAAATTCCTGAGTCTGGCTCCCCCAGGAGAGATGTGGAGAGCACGGGGACACTGGTTTTTGGGGAGGAGGGAGTAGAACGCCTTCCGCCGCTGACCCTGAGTCTGTGGGCCCCAGTTCTGTCCCTGTCTGTTTCCTGCTCTCACTGAGTGACTTCCAGATGGCTACTTCCCCTCTCTGAGCCTCCGTGTGCAAAGGGTGACAGAATTAGCCCGGAGGTCACTGTGGACCCTTCCACCAGCACATTGTCCTCTCATTCCTTTAAAAGTCTTACCCCAACGCTGTCCAAAATGGCCAATACATGGCATCTGGTGACTCCGTGAGAACCTAGTTTTAGTCTTGGCATGAAGACCTCACACATTCCAATCCAAGCGCCTTGGGTAATCATTGGATTGGAAGTCTCCCTGCTCATCCTGGAGTGGGGTTATTTTCTTTGGAGTCTCCTTGGCTGGCCCCCACACCAGGACGTCCTCCAGGGCAGCCTCCTCCCACCCCATCACCACCATAAAAGGGCCACCACCACCCTGCACCATCCAGGCACCCGGCACCAGAGACGGCTTCTCAGCATCCTCTACAACTCGATGAGGTGAGATCCCACCCTCCTCCGATGACACCCTGCAAAGGCTTGGGGGAAGGAGACAGAGAGAGGGAGGGTCTCTTGGATTAGCTAATACTGTGAACATAGCTATTGAAGATGAAGATATTCTTAGGAGAAGGGGAAGTCACTGAGCCAGGTGAGCTCACAAGATGGTGCCCATTACTAGCTCACACTTTGGTCAGTGATATTTATTGGCCTGTACCAGGAGCAAGTATTACTGGGTCTGGGGTTCCACAGTGAATCAGTCACAGTGCTCCTCTCAGGAGTTCACCTGAGGGAAGGGCAGACAAGTCTTCTCTCATTCAATCTGGTTCACTCGCCAGAGAACCATGCTGGCAGAATTTGAGTGGGACCCCCTAGCCTGCCTCTGGGTTGGGAGTCAGAGTGGGGCTCACAGAGGATGGGGATGTCCTCTGCAAGAGGAGATTCATGAGGAAGTGACTTAGGTACACACAAGAAGAGAGCAGTAAGGGCTTTAGTGTAAAGAGACACACTGAGATCAACTATCATCCAAATCACACTCCTCCAAGCCCTGGTTGTATATTTCTGGGCCAGTTGCTCCACTCTCTAACCTGGGCACCCCCCTGTAAAACTACCTGTCCCTTCAAGGACATTCTCCAGAGAAGGAGAGCTGTGCACCAAAGACTCTTGACCCCCCTGGGAAGTGCTCACCCCTCTTCCTCCTGTCACTGTGCAGGTGTCAGGTCGTCATGTCTCAGCTTTGGACTCTGGCTCTCCTGTGCGGCCTGCTCACCGGGACCTCAGCCTCTCTCCT